GGTGCCTGTCCAGGTTGGTCTGCTGCCCGAAGCAGCGGTTGCACAGGTGGCACTTGAAGGGCTTCTCCTTGTTGTGGATGTTGCGCACGTGCCGCTGGAGGTTGGAGGAGATGCTGAAGGAGCGGTCGCAGTACTTGCACCTGGAAGACAGGCGCACGGCGGTGGGCAGGGGCTGGCCTCCACCCAGGCCACCACCTGAAGCAGCAGATCCTGCCCGATCGAGCCCTGAGTGTGCCGCAGGTCCAGCTGGGCCTCCGGCGTCCAGGGCCGGGCATGTCCGCAGCCTGGGGCGACATGCTCCCAGCAGCCTCACGAGGGCAGCATTACAACACGCCAGAGCTGAGAGCCGCCCCCAGCTTCCCAGGTGCAGGAGGCCCGCCCCCAGCCTTGCTCTGCAGCAGGAAGGCTCCCAAGTGCCCTCTGAGCGGCCCTCTGTCTCACGGGGGCTGCAGGGTGACAAACCTGTTAATGCTTAGCTGCCCTGGCGGGTGGGGTGGGGGGCTCCTGGACCTGCAGCCAGCGGGCTGAGGACGGCCTGGGGCTATGCCGACCTTCTTAGTCACCACCCTTGGGCTCAGTTGATCTTTATGTCCCATCTGGGCAGCAGGGTCTCACCAGGCTGCACTCTGCACAACCAGAGGACATCGCCAGTCCTGACTCCCCTTCCTCAGAGCAGATCCCTGACACACGAGTGAGGAAGCCTGCCCTCTGCACAGCTTCCCCAGGGAGGGTCCCTGCTGTGCACCACCCTGAAGGCCCTGAAGTGACCCGCACGCTGAGCAGCAAGAAAGCCCAAACCGAAACAAAGAGCCGAGCAGAGGGGCGAGGGCTGAAGGGGTCTCCAGAGCTCTGCAGACCCGCGAGTGCCCTGGGAAGAGCGGTTCTGCACTGTGGAGGGCAGGTGGAGGGGAGGTGGCCAGAGCCAGCAGGGGCGCCACACGTGTGCAGGAGGTTGGCCGCGGACGCTGTGCGCCTGGCCTTCAGAGAGCCTCCAGTAGGTTCACCAGGGTCTCGGCGGGAGCACTGGGTGATTTTGTTTGTGAGGTGTGGGTTTGCATGCTTGAAAAGCAAGCACTGCTGTGTCCACTGTGTAAGGCACCGGGCATTCTGGGCCGTGGGCCCTGCCTGGCTGAGGCTTTTGGGACGCAGGGCCGGTGCAGCCGGCCTTGGTGGGGGCACGGGTGGGGGCTCTGTTCACCACCAGGATGTCTGGCTGTTGCAAAGTCAGAAGTCCCACGGGCCAGGGCCCTGCGAGGCCCCACCTCACCCACATTTGGTGCTGGTGGACACTCCAGCCCAGCATGCTGGTCACGAGCCTTGGTCATGTGGACACTTGCCCGAGGGCACTTCAGGACACAGCAGGGAGGGTCTCTGTAGGAGTGGCCTTTGCAGCCCTGTGCCACCCATGGGAGGGGTCTGGGTTGACATCAGGGAGCCTGAGGGGCCAGAAGCATGCCCTCAGGGCAGGTCCTGGGCCCCACATCTGGACACTGATAGACTGGAGACAATCACACCCTGTGTGAAGGGTGCAGGTGCACGAAACTGTCCCTGGACTCAGCCTGCAAGTGCCCCATCTACAGGCCACCTGACACAACCCTGCAGGTTGATAACGAGTACCCCAGAAGAGGGGGGGCCGGTGCTGACAGGAAGGAGTGGCCCCCCGTGCCCAGGCCTTCTGTCTGGGCTTGGCAGCCCCAACCGCGGCTCCCATGGTGCACCCACTCTTGCCTGAGGCCAGGTCCACCCCAGCCTTCTCTACAACGCACGGGCAACGTGCCGTGCACTGGTCCTCGGCATGCCCACCTCCTCGGTCCCTTGTCCCCATCCTGGCTGCACCTCTCTGCTGAGGGGCCTCAGGCATGTGGATGTCCAGGGAGCACAGGGCTTGCTCACAGCCTCTCCCGGCTCAGCCTGGGGACCGTCGGCAACCTGAGTGGCCATCTGAGAGGCCAGAGGTGCTGGCTGACTTGGATTTTTCCACCGGAGCAGTAACAGGTGCAGGCCATGGTCTGAGCTCCCCCAGGACTGGGCCAGAAAGGCTGGGGTTCCTCCAACCAGTGTACCCACAAAGAGCTCAGAAAGGAGGCATTTTAATCCCAGTGCACTGTCCCGCTGGGGCCCATACACCCCCAATATGCAGACCCCGGGGAGCCAGGCTCCCAAGCTCTCTGGTTCCTCGGGGCCATCGCTCCGGAAGGACAAGCTTGATCTGGTGTCTGCCCAGCGAAGGCTTCCCGGGCAGCGGCACTCAGAGCCCCGGGGTGGCCGGCGCGGGCCAGCCTGTCAGCTCACGCTCACGCCCAGCCAGCTCAGCTCCTGGCCGGTTCCTTTGGGAATGTGGGGACCCTCTGATGCATCTCCCCACAAACACCCAGCAGAGACTGAGCCTGATGCAGGTGTGGGGGTGGAGCCTGTGCGTCTGGGGGTCAGGGAAGGGCCAGCGTCCACTGGGTTGTGGTGTCCTGCCTGTGGCCTCTCTTGGCCTAGACAGAGACGTCCACGTGAAACTCAGGGAGCAGCGAGTCCAGGCTGTGAGGGAGCAGAGTTCGCCCGCGGCGGGGCCTGTGCTGGGAGCTGTCTTGGGGGACACAGCGCCCAACGCCAGGGAGCGAGAGGGCCCAGCTGCACCTGGCCACGCCACCCGGCGGGAGGGCTGGGGGTGCGCAGGGACCGGGTGGCAGCGGAAGGTGAAACAGGCCCCAGCCAGTGGGCCCCTCCCTGGGACCTGCGGGGCCACCGCCAGCCACCACTGGGGAACTGCTGTTGGTCACTTTAAGAGTGAAAGAAAAAAAAAAAGAGATCTTGAAGCCCAGTCCTAAAAATTAAAATAAACGAGAACGAGGGCCTGTGGGGACCTCTGGAGCCCCTGACAGAAACGCGACTTGTCTTGCTTAGCAGCCTTGGGACGGGTGGGGACGGGGCCCTGGGGGAAGAGGGGCACCCAGCTACCCCGGGGCGCCGGCGAAGGAAGTGAGCATCCTCGGCCACACCTCGTCCTCCGCTTCACCCAGGGGAGGCCGCAGCCAAGGACCCCCTGCTGCCGGGATGGCGGGAGGCAGCCCCGCTCCACGCCAGGGCATGAACACCTCTGATGCCTCTAGGTAACCCCAGGACTTACAAGGAAGATGCGTCTGATCCTCTGCTTTGATTATCCTGCTGCCAAAAGCCCCGTGTCCTCCTGCTGGCGAGGGCCAGCCCCTCCCGGGCACACAGAGGCACACATGTGCATGTTGACATGCAGTGGGCATGCACGTGGTGCTGCCACGGAGGAGGGGCTGGCACCTGGGCCGGCATCGGGGTTCAGCACCTCGTGGCGGGACTGTGTCCTGCACAGTGGGCTTTGGAGAGGGGCCATGCATTTTTCTCTTCTGACTTAAAATCCTGTGCCTGATCAAAGCCAGCCTAGAGACCACCAGGGCTCCCAAACGGAGGGCAGCTACTCCTCAGAGCAGGTCGCCTGAGCCAGACCAAGTCAGGATTTGCAGCACAAACTTGTGAAGCAATTACTGTTACCAAGGCCGAAACTCACAGATTGGAGAGAGCAAAAGAAATCAATGATAATTAAATTCTTCTATAAACACGGCTCGACCCTCTGGGGCCTCTTAGCACGCAACACTGTCCAAAAGTCGGCTCTCGTTACAGAAAAAACACGAGCTCGTTTGCTGGGAGGAGACCAGACCAAATAAATCTTTCTGCTGTTCACCTTTGTTAAGTTGTAAGTCACTGTTTTGGAGAGTGGGCCGGGTGCCGGTGTGTGGGGAGGGCCGAGGGCACAGTCACTGGGCCCATCAGGGCTGTCACCTACCCTGCCAGGGACTCAGCCCCAGGGACGCTGGAGATTCTCCATATATCTGTGTGGGGCTCGGGGACCAGCACGCACACCGGGCCCCCGTGGCCGCCCTCCCCGGGGATGGGCACACACACTGAATCCCCGGGGCGCATAGCATCACAGGGTCCATTCCTGGTGAGCTGGAGCTCTGTGTGGCCACAGTACAGGCATCTGCTGCTGTCAACCTCAACTGTGCCAAATGCTCTTTATTCCCAAGGCCTCGGCTGGCCAGACACACCCCAGGACGTTACTAAAACGGTCCTGGCAGAGAAACGGGCATTTCCCGCTTGTCTCGGGGTCACAATTGCCTGGGCTCTGTCTAAGAGGCCCACTCCCTGACTGGGCAGGGCTTCAGGAGAGTCAGGGTGCCACCCTCAGCCCTTTCCTTTCCCACAGGCCCAGGGGACAGAGAGGACAGGGACCTGGGGACACAGCAGTCAGCTGAGGGACATCTCAGAGCCTCAGCTTCCTCATCACTGGAGTGGGGGTGGTGGGACTCGCTGGGGGGCTGCTGTGAGCTCTGCTTCAATGACCCCATATCCAGGAGACAGGAGTGAGGTGGGAGCAGGTGCGTGCCTCCCCCCCTCAGTCTGCCTGCGAACCGGAGTGAACCCCTGGGGCACCCCCAAGCCAGGAGGGGACCCGTGCTCGCTCAGAGCTCCTGCCCGGCGGTCCACCCACTTCCTGGTCCACCACAGGGGGCGGCAGCAGCAGCCGTTGCGAGAGGCGAGGAGCTGTGGGTGCCAATGACACTGAGCTGCTCCACAGACACCCTGGGGCCCCAGCTTCAGGTGGACGCACTCGGATTCTGGGCTGCTGTCCCCATGGACATTCCAGCCACAGGTGGAGAGCAGCTACCTGCAGCTGCTTTCATGAGCATGGCAGGAGCCTTCTGGAAGCTTCCTGATAACTTTTGCCTCCTCCTTACAACCTCTGAGGGAGCAGGATAGCAGTGGGCTCAGAAGACAGAGGCCCAGAGAGTGACCAGACCCCAGGACTCAGCGAGACCACCCTGGCTCCTGCCCACTGCCGCTCCAGGGGCTGTGGCCCTTCTGAGGGTCTAGAGGCAGGGTGGGGGTCCCTGCTCAAAGGAGGGGAGTTCATGGTAGGCGGAAGCAGGCAGCCAAAATCGCAGCCCCCCACCCGCCCTCGGAGCTCAGCCCCACTGCCCTGCCCCGGCTGCTACCTGTACGGCTGCTCCCCGGTGTGCGTCCTCAGGTGTCTCGTGAGATTTGCTGACCGGGGGAAGATCTTGCCGCAGTACCTGGGTGGAAGGAGGAGGTGTGAGGGGGCGACAGGCCGTCCTTCCTGACGTCTTCTCTCCATGCTGGGCTAGCAGCGCCGGAGGCCTCGCCCCGGGGCAGGGCCATTCTGCACCCTGGTTTCAGTTTCCCCGTGGGCCCTGGAGCCTGGCCCAGGCTTACGGAGACTCGTGATGTGGGCCACAGAGGAGAGTGAACCAGCCCCTGCCTGGAAGCCTCTCGGCCCCTCTGCCCAGCAACGGACACAGCGGCAGGGACAGAGTGGGCCAGGCCTGCACAGCCAGAAGGTCAGCTGGGGAGTGTCCTCCCATAGAAAGTGGCAGGGCCAAGTGCTGGGGTCCTTCAGGGTCTAACACTGGTCAGTTGGTCCCCTCCAGCTGGTGGGCCAAGGTTGTGTTTTGGGCTCACGTGAACCAGCTGTGTCATGAGCTGCAGAGGATGCCTCAAGCAGCTAACTGACCAGTCATGGCCACCATGTTTCCCTGTGGCACAGGTTCATAGCCATAGCTGGGCACCTGGGCACCTTCCCACCAGTCCTCCAGGGGCATGCAGGGGCTCACCTGCACGTGTACCGCTCCTTGCCCTTCCTGAGGATGGGGTCCGAGAGCGTCGGGGGTGGGGACCGGAAGTTGAAGGGGTGGTGGGGCAGGGGCTGCAGCGAGCCCCCCGAGTCTGCTTTCATGGCTGCGAAGCTCTCCAGCTTCTCTGTCATGGTCTCGATGGCTGACATCTGCTGGCACAAGAGACGCTGTCTTCAGTGCGTGGAACTCCGTCAAGGGGACGGGAGCACAGCAGCAGGTTCTCCCTCGGGTGGTCACTGGAACCAGGGGCCTCCAGTGTCTTACACCTTCTGCAGCCTGCCCTGTCCCTACCCTGGAGCCCCAGCTATAGCTCAGGGTCTAGCCAGAGGGAGCTGGAACTGGCCCTTAAGAACTGGCCTCACTGTCCAGTTTGCAGGGAAATGAGTCATGAAGTCTGCCAATGCTCAAGATTACCCAATCTCTTATTTTGACCCAGGTCAGGGATGCCCAGCTGGCACATCCCTGGCAGCGCTCCTGGTGGGCTAGTTTGGGTTATACATAGAATTACACCTAGTTCTTGTTTATCTGTTTTGTTTATAAGCCTTGAGAAATTAAGATGCTACCTGAATCTGTTTAAAACAGACCACTGGCCTGAGGAACCACTGCCACCTAATGGCTGAATCTCATAATTGCAGGCAAAGTGCAGAAAAAGAATTCAACAGCTAAGACAAGATCCCCTGGAAACCAATTCAAAACAACAATGCCCAAAGTCACAGACTATAGGCAAAGGTCACTGTCTCTGCTCCCTGGAGATGTCAAGGGCTTGCTCAAGGGGAAGGGAGGGGTAGGATTGGTCATTCCCACCTGTTGGGTGGAGTTCTAGTCAACACCCCAGACTGTGCTGGCAGGAAAGGGGAGAGGCTGAAGGAGCTGCTCAGGTCCCAGTGGTGCTTCTCCCAGCTCTTCTGTGGGCACTGGGGAAGCTAGGTGCAGGGGCCCACAGGAAGGAAGGGCTTCATCAAGCCAAAGCTCCTGGTTTAAGGAGAGAGCTCAGGCAGTGATGCCTGGGCCCCAGCAGCAGTCACTAGCCCTGGGAGGGGGCCCTGCAGCCCTCCACGCACCTCTGCTCCACGCACCCATAGGCCCTGTTTTGCCTTGGAGGGCACAGAGAAGGGACTGGTGAGGCGGGGTGAAGGAAGGCAGGGTGGATGGATGGAGATAGAGGGAAGGAGCCACCCAAGGTCTCAAGTGCAGTGACCACTGGGAGAGACTGGCCCTGGGCAGGGCCCTGGCAGCCAGCACCCACAGAGGGGTGGGGGTGGACGAGGAGGTCTTTGCAGGGGGTACTTGCTCATTTACAGCCAAGTCTCTGCCCCAGCCTTCCCTGGGCGAGTAGAACCATCCCAAGGTGCGGCTGGGGGTTCTTTCAGCCAGCACCCACCCCTCTGCCCCTTGGCCCCTTGTCCAAGTGCCTGGCATGCGCCATGGAGGGTGCTGTTCGCAGGCACTTATTCAGGGCAGGAAACAGAGGGCTCGGCCCCAGCGTGACTCGAGGCTAAGTGCTCCAGTGGTGGAGACACGTGGGCAGTGGGGGGACAGAGGGGAAGCCACTGATGAATGGAGATTGTGTGGGGCCTCCCCTCGGATGCTGCTCTGGGCTCTGCCCGGCCACAGGGGTTCCATCTTCACCCTGTTGGAACGGGCAGGCACACAGCCCTGAGGACATGGGATGCTTCCAGCCTGTACCCGCTGACCCCTGGGTGGCAAGTGCCTGGCTTTCTCGCCCACCATCCAGCCTTCTTTGGCCCCTATGGCCTGGGCCCCAGGGTAGCACTGAAGCCCTGGCACAGAGACTGCTGTTCACCTGCCCGCAGGCCCAGCAGTGCCTAGGAACACGCTGACTCTCAGCCACCCAGAGACTCCCCAGGAACCCCCCCTTGGGTGGGGCCTGGCTCTGTACCCCCAGGGCTGCACACCTGCCCGTGGGACTCAGAGGCAGAGGGTTTGCTGGGCACCTCAGCAGCCCAGGCAGGGACAGTCGTGGCCTCTTGGGGGAGACCGGCAGCTACCAGGCACTTTCTGCCCAGGTGGCAACCCAACTCAGGCCATTTACTTAGTCGTCTCTCCCCTGCCCCTTCCTCCTGGCTCAGGGACACAGGGACCTCAGGGGTGGGCAGGAGGGACAATGGGCAGCGGGGCCCCCACTGGGCCTCTCTTCCTGGGGCTTGGGTGGGTCCGCCTGCCCGGCCTGGCCTGCCCTGTCATATTCCCCGTGGAGACCCCCGCCCCCAACAGGATGTGCGGCTGGCTTGTCTGCCCCTCCAGCCCGCCCGAGGATAAATCAGGGGAAGTCATTAACCAAACTCACGGCCCCGCAGAACAATGGCAGGTGCTAAGTTTAGCTGTGAACTCAACCAGGGCGCAGATTTCACAAACCAGGGGTGTCCAGGCGGGAAAGGCAGACAAACAATGCCCATGCAGGCTCCGGAGGCAGGCTTGGGAGGCCCCAGGACCCTCCGGGTGGTGGGGGAGGCCTGGGGCAGTGGCCTGCAGCTCTGAGGAGGGGCCTGGGCTCCTTGAAGGGAGGACAGTGGGACACCAGGAAGACTCTGAACTGGGCTGTGCCCACCCCCCAGGAGGACATGGGCAGGAGGGCGGGCAGGAGGGCCTGCAGGCTGGTAGGGCTGAGTCCAGGGTCCAGGCTTTGGTGCTCTGCAGGGGTCCCTGAGGAGAGCCTGATGCCCTCTGCTCTTGGGGAGGTGCACCCTCCTGCCCCTCTGCGTGCAGCTGTCCTCTCTGGACTTCACAGTTCGTCGGGCTCAGGTATCACCCAGGAGGACCAGCTTCTACCCCGAGCCACCTGGGCTGCTCACCTCTTCCCCTCCCAGCCTGCCAGTGCACACTCCTGCCCTCCTGGAGCGCCAGTCTTGGGGGTCAGTGGCCCCCTGAGGGTAGGGCTCCTATGGTAGAAGGCCCCTGGACAGCCTTGCTGGCCTGCACTGTGAGGACCCCCTCCTCATCCTCTCCAACCCTGCAGGATCCTCTGCCTTGGAAAGGTGGGGATGCTGGCCCCGAGCCTGCCCAGCTGCCCGCCTGGGTTTTACCTGGGGGTGAAACAGCAGCGGGGAGGGCCTCAGGTACTTCTCCTTCAGGACACCCACGGGGTCCGTCACCTTCCGCTTTTCTACCCTGCTGGACAGCAACACAAGGGTTACGTGCCCCACTGAGCCACCTGCTCTGCAGAAGCACATCTGTGCCCATTGGCACGGTGTGGGGCTCACCACAGCTTCCTGCTGGCTCTTACTGCCTTCTTGGTGGCAGTGGGGGTCCTGGCTCGCCTACTCACCTGCCTGGACCCCCAGCCCACCTCCTACCCAAACGGTCAATTCCCTCCCATGCTCCCGTTACCTTCATGCTCCCCTAGGTCACCCCTAACAACCTCAGCTGCCGGCTCCTGGGCATGTCATGGGGGCTTGGTGCAGGGGCCAGAAACTTCTCTGAGGCCTGGGCACCAGCCCTCTGCCCACTGGCCAGGGCCACCAGCTCCCGTCCACTGCCCCGGATGGGCCAGCCTGGGTGGGAGGCTGCATTGTCCAGGCACAGAGCCCACCCACAGCACAGTGTGGCTCACTCCTGAAGGCCCAGGGCCCAGCTTCCTCTCCTGCCTGGACTTTGGCACGGGGTGCCTGCCCATTTTTGCCGATGACTGTGGTGACTGTGGGCTTTTGCCAGGGCAGGGCTCTATCTGAGACTCTGGATAGCAGCTGGAGACTGCAATTCTAGAACCTTCTCCCAAGGCCGGTGACACTCTGTTAGATAGGCCTCTCCCAGGTGACCTGGTGGTCATGGGGGCCTCCATGCTGCCTCCTTTAGCCGACGCCTCCCAGCAGCGGGCTGCCTGATCTCCCTGCCCCATCCCCAGCGAGGGCTGCTGTGAGCCTCCCAGTGCCACGGCATTGGCCAAACCCAGCCTGACCACGTGCCCTCTGAAGACCCCTGGGATAGGCCATGTATGATTTATCTGTGGGGACCCCCTGCCCCCCGGGCCCTGGTCCACACTCCACCAAGGGCAGTCCATGCTGCTCTGAGCCCCAGTGGACCAGAGCAGGACAGGCCAGTGACAGCAGAGAGGGGGGAGGCAGCAGAGCCAGCCCTGGCCAGGTCCCAGGCACAGGCGTTCCCACCAGGGACCCAGGGAGACCACCAGGGGAGAGCCCTGGAGACCCTCGAGAGGGCGGGCAGACGACAAGGCTGTGGCCCTGCAGGACAGGCAGGCTGGGTAGGGCCTCCTGGGACACCCATGCTCTGGGCCGGTGGCACCTGCAGAGGACGGGACCTGGGAGGGGAAGGGCTTGCTGGGAGGGACAAGCTGTCAGGACGAGTGGGCGCTTCTCTCTGACCTTCAGCCCAAGGCCAGTGCCCCCAGAGGGGCTGACACCCTGCCCAGCAAACTCAGATGCTGCTGTCCTCCTCTGCCTTTCCCTGACACCCGCCTCCCAGATGACCACTGCAGTGGACATGCACACAGCCAAGGTACCCGGGATGCTGAGGGACCTGTCCCCGAGCCTGGCATGCTCTTGGCAGCTGGGCCCTGTGCCTTCACACACCACGTCTACCCAGGTTGTGCCTGGGGTGGGCAGGAGGGGACCCATCTGGGGCCCTGGCTGGTGGTGTTCCCTGCCTTCTGTCCTTAGGGATGCCCAGGTAGCCCCGTGAGCAGCCCGGACCCTGATGGCCAAGGACAAGAGTTCAGACACGTCCAGCCCCAGAGCACCTCCACCAGGAGCCCACGTAGGGGCGTGTGTGTGTGACTGTGCTAGGGTGTGAGCGTGTGGCATGTGAGAGCACACGAGAGTGTGGGCATGGAGGTATGTGGTTGTGTGAGTGCATGTGAGCATTGCGTCTATGTGTGATGGTGTGTGTGAGTGTGTGTGTGAGTGTGCACGTTGGTGTGTATATGTGAGATGTGAACGAATGTATATGTGAACATTATTTGTGTATGTGAACGTGTACGTATGTGTGTGCATGCACATGGGTATGAATGTACGTATGTATGACTAGGGTGAGTGTGTGTCTGTGTGTGAGCATACATGGATGTGTACGTGTGTGCATACGTACATACGACTGTGTATGTGTGGGCATGTGCATGGGTGTAGGTGTACATGTATGTTTATGAACGTAGGTGTGCACAGGTGTGCATGTGTGAGGGTGTGTGTGAAGGGGGCCTTCGGGCCCTGTGGTCCTCACAGTTCTACCTCCCAGGCTGCCCGTGGCCCCTGCAGCTTCCCGGGAAGCCCAGGCCCTAAGCCCTAAACCAGTGGTGTGGAGGGAGGGGTGTCTGAAGGGGAAGGGCAGAGGACGAGAGAGAGGCCAGGGAGGCTCAGGCAGACCACCCTGTCTGTCTGCTCCAGCCCTGGAGTCCCCCGAGAAGGCTCGTCACCCGCCTGGGTCCTATGCACACCAAGGTGGCCTGTGAAGGTCCTGGGATCCTACTTAATTGTTACTATTTTTCCAAGGTTGAGGTCCTTTGTACATACTTGTCTATGTGGCCAATGTGACTGTCACGGCAGGTGCCACCCTGGACTCCCTGACAGCCAGCACACCCTAGAGAAAGTGAGGCACTGGGTAGAGGGTGGGCCTCCCAGTCTTACGAGCCCCTCATCAACTGGCCAGCGCTGCCCTGGCCTGGTGCTGGCCACCTGCGCCCTGGAAGAGGGCTGCTGCCTCGACCCTCCCTGCTGAGCCTCTGGCCTGTCCCACGCAGCCGGTGGACGGGCCTCTTCCAAGCAACACGGGGGGCACGTTTCACGTTTCACATGGCAGGAGCTGGCTGCAGATGCGGCTTGGTCTGGGTGGGAGCGGCCTCGGCCCCAGCGGTGCCGTGGGCGCCGTGTCCCTGGCAGAGCGGCCAGGCCAGCCCAGCCCTGAAGGCAGCTCTCTGGCCTCCGCACTCTGACGTCACTTGTTCTCATCTTTGTCCTCCTAGATCCCCAAGCACAGCAGGTGAGACCTCCTCACCCAAGCATAAGCCGTCCTCTGTCCCCCCACGGGGCTGAACTGCGGGGCCGGCAGAGCGGTCTTCAGAAGGGGCCGCCATCCGCTCCCTGCAGCTTTAGCACACAGGCTTCCGAGGCCTGGGCTGGCCCCGGTGCTCAGCCTCTGCTGGGGGCACCCGCTGGGGTCTCCCTTCATGGCAAGGATGATAGGACCCCTGCCATGGAACCTGGCCCCGCTCTCCCTGTGGACCCCACCTAGGGAGGGGCAGAGCCTGCCCACTGGCTGGGGAACGGACTCAGCCGGCCCCTTGCTGGGAGGGCATCAGAGAGATGGGAGGCTGATGTCCTGCAGACCCTCTTGAACTTCCCTCTCCTCCCCCTCGTCCCCCCTGGGGACCAACAGCTCCCTCTGTGGTTTCTCCCAGGCCACCAAAATGCCCCTTAGTGTGGCTTCAAGAGTGAGGTGGGACCACAGGAGCAGCCTTGGGGATGTGGAGCCTCAGGGAGGTGCACAGAGAGCTCAGAGCCAGTGTAGGCCCCTCTGACCTTTTCCGGAACACAGACTTGGTTCAGGAAAGATAGCTGGACACAGGGAGGCGTGGATACTGATGATGGCAGTACTCAGGAGGGGCTCAAGGTGGGGCAGAGGACATCTGACCTGCGGTCAGTGCAAGGGAACCACACGTGTCCAGGAGGCCCCACCCCGGCCCACCGACCCTGGGAGTGGCCAAGCCAGATGCCCCTCCAGAGGGGTGTGGAGCCCCAGGAGCAGAGGCCCCTCCCTGAAGCCCACAGAGGCGGAGAACCTTGGGCGGATGTGGCCAGCTCCTGTGGCGTGGGCTCCGGGCAAGAGGAGGTGAGGACGGGGCATGTTAATACCTGTAAATGGGGTCCATGAAGAAGGGAGAGGGCTTGGCGTAGTGCAGGGAGGGCTGCTGGGGCAGCTGCGCCGGGCACACCTTGGGCAGCCCCTCACCGGCCCCTGGCTTCCGCTCCCCGTAGATGTGGTTCTTCCGGGGCTCCCGGCCCCCTCCGTTCTGGCTGGCACGGGCCCGGCTGCCGATGCTCAAGTCCAGTGGCTGCTCCTCGCTGGATGCGGGTGCCGGGGGCACCTTGGGCGCGGGCAGGATGGGCTTCGCCTCTTTTGGTTTGGTGGTGAGGTCGAAGGGGCACTCGGCGCTGGGGCCGCCCACTTTGAGTGTGTCCCGGGGCGACTTTGGCTCGGCCTTGACCAGCAGGTTGTGGGCGAGGGCACGGTCCGTGAAGGGGTACAGGGAGTGGGGGAAGTTGGGCAGGAACTGGAAGGGGAACACCGAGTGGTAGGGCAGCGCGCCCAGCTTCTTCTCCTGCATGCCCATGAAGCCCGGGCCAAAGTACTTCTCCGCGATGGACGCGATGGCTTTGATGGAGTCGCCGGCGGCGCCCGGGGCGGCGGGAAGAAGGAGTGCTGTGAGTAGAAGACGGGCACCTCGGCCCCACTGTGGGTGGACCCCGCGGGCACCGAGCCGCCGCCAAACTCGGGCTTGCCCTGGTCCTTGCCCTTGTCCCGGTCGCTGTCCACGTCGCTGTCCAGGTCCGAGCCAGTCCCCGTGGTGGTGTCCAGGTCGGTCCCCGTCGTGGTGTTGATGTCCTCAAAGTCGCTGCCGTCGGACATGTCGGGGCTCCTGGTCTTGAGCTTCTCCACGTACGTGTCCTCCAGGCGGCTCTCCAGCTTCTCCTCCGGCCCCGTGGCCGCCGTGGCGCCCTGGCCGCTGTTGCTGACCGCGGAGATGAGGGGCAGTGCTGGGTTCCCCAGGGGGCTGGGGAGCTTGGCGTCCTGGGTGTGGTTCAGGGGGCTCTTGAGCAACGGTGTGGGAGGTAGCAGAGGCGGCCGGGGGTACAAGGACGGAGGGAAGATGCCCGGGAAGCCGGGCGTGAGTGCAGGGAAGGCCGGGGGGCCCGTGGAGAAGGGCAGGCTCCCAGGGTGGGGCCTGGAGGGGAAGTACTCGTTGAAGCCCAGGCCAGTGTGGTTGAGGTTGGGGGAGGGCTTGGCCTTGTCCATCAGGGGGCTGGGGGTCAAGGGCAGGCCCGGGGCGAAGAGGCCGCCCGGCGTGTAATGGCTCTTGCCCTCGCAGAAGCGCCGGTGCTTGTTCAGGGAGGAGGTAGTGCTGAACATCTGCCCACAGTCCTTGCACTTGATCTGCGTGCGGCAGTCCGCGTGCATGCGCTTGTGCCGGCACAGGTTGGAGAACTGCGTGTAGGACTTGTGGCAGACCTCACCTGGAACATCAGCAGAGAGCAGACACAGGCCGTATGAAATTACAGGGGACCGCACCTCGAGGGGGAGCAGCTGTGCGGGCGAGCGTGCCTCTGTGCATGTGCGCCTCTTCATGTATGTGCTGTGACTCTATAACATGCCACGTCTCATGCGTGTACAGAGCATGTGCTCACCTGTCTGTGTGTATTATAGGGAAGAGGTGCCTGCATAAACGCGTGTGCCTGTGTGTGCACAGGTGTCCCACCCTGGGGCTGTCTCCGGGGGGAGGGAGAGCCAGCCCAGGCCTGGCCCAGGGCCCGCAGCAGGGCTAGGCCCCCTCAGCTGGCTGCCGCAGGGGTCTGGGCTCCACAGCCTCCTACTTCCTCACCGCTCCCCACGGGTGAGAGCAACCCCTGACCGCTCAGATCTCTCCCACTTCCCGAGGGTCAAGTGCCCCTGGCTCAGGGGTCCTGTGAGCTGGGTCAGTGAAGCACCTGCTCGTCTTCCTCTTGCTCTTCTAACAAGAAAGTGAGGAGCACACGCAAGCATGGGTGTCCACGGGACAGCTTGCTTCCTAATCACGGAAACAAGGGCTCCTTTCCCTCGTCGGCCGGGTGTGGACCCATGCCCACTACACGTCCCCCACTCGCCCTGTGGTCACCCACTCACACACCCTCACTGCACACGCCTGTCCTCTCCAGGACACATCCCCCACTCCCCCTGAGGTCACCCACTCACACACCCTCACTGCACACGCCCGTCCTCTCCAGGACACGTCCCCACTCCCCCTGTGGTCACCACTCACACACCCTCACTGCACACGCCCGTCCTCTGCAGGACACGTCCCCACTCCCCCTGTGGTCACCCACTCACAGACCTCACTGCACACGCCCGTCCTCTCCAGGACACGTCCCCCACTCCCCCTGTGGTCACCCACTCACACACCCTCACTGCACACGCCCGTCCTCTCCAGGACGCGTCCCCCACTCCCCCTGTGGTCACCACTCACACACCCTCACTGCACACGCCTGTCCTCTCCAGGACACGTCCCCCACTCCCCCTGTGGTCACCCACTCACAGACCCTCACTGCACACGCCCGTCCTCTCCAGGACACGTCCCCCACTCCCCTGTGGTCACCCACTCACAGACCTCACTGCACACGCCCGTCCTCTCCAGGACGCGCTCTTTGGGAAAGTGCTCACGAGGAGCCGCCCACTTCCACGCGCCTTCTGGCCTCCTCCTTGCCACCTGTCCCTCAGGCACCCACGGGCACACTCCAGCTCCCCAGAGGGACAGACATCACCTTGGTTTCTGAGCTGGCGGGGGCTGGGGCTTCCAGGAGTCGGGTGGCTATGGGCGTGCACACAGGTTTCACCAGTGGGTGACACGGCGTCCGGGTGTACTCAGTGCCCGTGCCCTCGCTGTCCTCCAAGTGACCCACGTGGACTTCCCCACTTCCTCGCAGTTTCCCATCCAGACCTGAAGCCCTCGGAGGCGCTCCGCGCGTGTTGCCCAGCTCTGGCCCCCCCCCGTCGGGGCCGTGCCCCACATCAACCTGGTACAGACTCCGTCTTGAGAGCTGGGTTGCCTTTGCCAGAGCCAAGGCCCAGAGCGGGGCCTGGACACCAAGGAGGGCATGAGTCCTACCCTGGGGCAGGCCCACCCCGCGGGAGCCTGTGCCATGCGGGGAACCCTGGGCTCAGCCCGCCCAGCAGGCGGCACCTGGAACTCACGCTCTCCACGGGACCCGTGGGCTTCACAAAGCCGGTTTGCACGTCCCGAGGACCACGGTGCGTCCCAGCGGGCCCTGCCCTGGCGAGGCTGCACCAGCCCTGGAAGCCGTCACCTCACACCAACACGCACACCCGCCCACAGGGCCTCGCGCTCCTCCTCCTCACTAGGCCTGAGCTGGGTGTCATGGTAACATGGGGGACAGTGCGCCAGAGGTCTGCGAGGGGTGACAGCCTGACGTGTGCGTGTGAGACGACCGTGCGAGGCAGGCGTGTGCGAGATGCACACGTGTGTGTGTTAGGTGACTGCATGGGGCAGGCGTGTACTTGGACACACGTGTGTGTGTGTGTGAGATGATCCTGCACTACGCACATGTGTGTCAGTGACTACAGGGGCAGGCGTGTGCTTGGGAACGCACAAAGTGTGTGACTGCACGAGGCTTGAGGACTAGGCCTGCTGTGACAATGACGATGGCACACGGGGACATGGCCTCTCTGTGGCTGAACTCACTGAGAACCAGGGCCAAAGGCCCTGTGCAGGCCCACAGCCTGCGGGACTGGTCCCTGGTGACCTCTGCCCCCGTCCCCCCACCCTGAGCCTCTCAGCAGGCACCCAGGCCAGTGCTCCTCACCGCTGTGCTGGGCACCTCCCAACAAAGGTGCAGGGGCCGTGCCCACCCAGCACCAGCATGGCCTCCCTGAGGCTCTAGCCCTGCACTGCTGTCCCCAGCTGGTATCTGTCACCTCGTCTCCTCCCTCTAGCATGTGAACACGAGGACAGCAGGACAGGGCACCTGGTAGCGGGCCTGCCCTGTGGCTCTGGAGGACCTGCTCCGTGGCTGGCCCCACCCGGCTGCACTCTGTAGCTCAGCCAGTGCTGGGGGCAGAGGGGCGGGGAGGAACCGAGGTCCTTGCTGCCCCACCACCTACCTGCAGCCACTGGAGGAAGCACAAAGGGGGCACAGGCAGGAGGGGGGCGGGGAGCAGGGTGGAGCGAGCGGGCAGTTCTAGTGGCCCCTGAGGGCTGCCAGGACCCGGCCACTAGGCAGAGGCCTCAGGCCTGGCTGGGAGGGATTTCTGCCCCACCCCGCGGCGTGGGCCGACGGGCAGGTGCAGGCGGGCGCGGGCGGCAGGCGGGCACTCACATATGAAGGGCTTGACGGTGCTGTGGATGTGCTTGTGCTGCTTGAGGCCGGAGGACGTGGCGAAGGTCTTGCCGCAGTCGGGGCAGGCGTGCGCCCGGGCACCCACGTGCTGCGAGCGGATGTGCCGCTGCAGGTTGCTGGGGTCCGTGAACACCTGGGAAAGACGCTCTGCTGGAGGGTCCAGCCAGAAAGGCCGGGCCCTGCCTCCCTCCAGCACTGCCCTCCCTGCCCGAGCTGGCCGGGGCAGCTGCTGGGGGCCACGGGGAGCCGCAGAGCCTTTGGGCTTGCGTTCCACAGTCACCCCTGAGGACCTGGGGGCCATAGGCCACACGTGATCCCCGCAGAGAGTGTCTCTGCTGAAGTCCATGGACCCCGAGGGCTGGCACCAGGGAGGCCACCCTCGCCAGCCTCTTCCTTTGGGTGGGCAGGGGCACGAGGGCCTCCCTGGAGAGGACGTGGGTTCTGGTTGGGCCCTGTTCCTCCTGAGTTATGCCATAGGGTCTCTGACTTCCTGTCCTCCCCAGGAATGAGGAAGGACCACAGTGGCCCCGGGCATCTCACCTAAGTTACTATCGCTACCCTGGGCATTTTCACAGGACGGCGGAGGAGCTGGGATGGGGCCAGGCTGGCGGGGCTGGCACGGTACCTTCACGCAGTTTTCACATTCAAAGCGCTTGCCACTGTCATGGGACATCTGGTGGCGGATGAGGTTGGACTTCCAGTTGAAGGCCTTGGGACACTGGTCACACTTGTACTCGCGCTCCTCTGTGTGGACGATCATGTGTTGCTCCAAGCTGGGGACAGGGGTCAGAGTCACTGGTGCCCTCGGCCTGCCCCTCCCGCTGCATCCTCTGGGGGTTGCCCATGGGCAGACACAGCTGGCCCTTGTGTCAGGAGGAAGCCGGTACCTACCCAGAGCTCAGTCCCTCATCCAAGGCCACCCCCAGTCAGCCAGGGGCAGGGCGGGACCCCAGGTCCCACGTCCTGGCCACCCTTCTGGGAAATCCCAACTTTGAACTAAACTTGGGCCAAGGGAAAAAGGAGTCACGGAGGTTGGACGCTGCCCTGAGCTGACGGGGGGCTGGGCAGGAGCCGGGGCTACCCCTCGCAGTGGCCTGCCACCCAGGAGGCAGAGGGAGTGGCAGAGGGTCTGCAAGGGTGACGCACTTGGGCGGGGACAGCAGCTGCTGGCAGGGTCCTGCCCCTCCCAGCTGAGCCAACAGCCTCTGACCACTACTCTCGGGGGACCCCTGCCTCCCCTCCCGTCCCGTCCCCGGGATATCCGTTAATCTTCATGAGCAAAGCAGTAATACATCACGGCCCGCTAATTACGGGGCCCAGCCATCCATTTAGATCAGGAACGCCTGCTCCTCCGGCACCCGGAGATTGTATCTTTTGCCTGTTGTTAATTGTGATTTATGTGTTTATGTAAAGAAAACAGGGGCCCTCTTTAGCGCACTCTGTGGCGGCCTCTGCCGGGATTCGCCCACACGCTCGTTTCTCAGTCATCTGGGTGGAGGGCCTGCATCCCAGGGGGCTGGGACTGGACGGGCTGTAAATCCCCAGCCATCACAGGCCGTTAGCGGCCTGATGGTGGCTCACTGGGCAGGGCGGGCCTGGCAGGAGCCCTCCCAGGCGGGAGAGGCCCGAGCCTCGGCCGCTGGTTCCTGGAGCTCTGGGACTGGGTGTCCTGCCTCCCCACAGAGCCCGAGTGCCATCTGCCCTTGGGATTTCATGTAGGTCCCCAATGGGTCGTAGGGTCTTGACTTCTGTCCAGCCTCAGGGCGGAGGAGGGCCAGTGGACCTGCTCCTGCTGTCTGTGTCCAGCCATTGTCCAGTGGGCCTGGCGCTCTGATGCCCTTCTCCGGCAGGTGGCTGCCACCTGAGGGGAGCAGAGCCTGGGGTCTGGGGTAGAAGGGTCCTGGATGATGCCTTCCTGGGCCTGAGGAGGGGTCTGGGGAGGCTGCCCATGTCGTCCTTGGCAGTGGGCACTGTGGCCCCTGGCATCAACTGGGGCTAGAGCGCAGCATGCCCAGGACCTGCCCACAGTCCTGATCCTTGCCAGGCGGTCTCCACAACTCAGGCCTGCGGCCGGCAGGGGCACTGGCCTCCCTGTCAGGGATGAGCAGGTCTTTCTGGGGCTCAGACTTTCTGGTGGGAATGGGGCGCGACACCAAGGCTCCGGCACGGGCCGCTGGTGCGCCTTTTCTGTCCCCGCGTGGTGCGAGGGCCTGGTGCCCGTCTGCCCCGGTGCTCGCCTGGCCCCGGTGCCATCCTGCCCCTGGTGCCATCCTGCCCCTGGCGCCCTCCTGCCCCTGGTGCCCGCCTGGCCCTGGTGCCCGCCTGCCCCTGCTGCCCGCCTGGCCCTGCTGCCCGCCTGGAGGGGGGTGGCACCTGTACTTGGTGGGGAACATCCGCTCGCAGTCCTTGCACTCGTGGGAGGGGTCGCTGCCCCCGCCACCGAGGCCCTCGGGCTTGCGCCCCTCCCCCAGGCCCTGGTACACGGTGGTCCCCGCAGAGCCGCAGGCGTACTTCTTGTGGCGCCGCAGGTCCACCTTGCACGGGAAGAGCTCGTCACACTCGTCACAGCGGAACGTGGGCTCCTCTGCAAGACAGGACAGGAGGTGGCAGCAGAGCCAGAGCCCCCCTGCCTGGCTCTCCTCTGCCCCCATCCTGGAGCCAGGGTCCCCGGGGCCTGGGAACCACAGGGACGGAAGACCCCCGGCTCTGCCTCCTGGGAAACACTGAGCCCACCGCATGGGGGCCCTGGCCGGGCCTCAGGCAGCCACTGTGGGCCAGAGGGGGCTCTGCCTGGGAGCCAGAAGGAAGCCAGGCCAAGGCTTTGTTTATGAATCAGGGGAAGAGACGACAGAGCGCCAACGCGTATAATAAATTATTGTCATCAAGGTCAAACAAATTAAAAGGGGGGCAGCTATTATTAAGTTTATGAGCAGCATCCTGACCACGGTGCCAAGCCAAACAATCAGGCTGGAGCTGTCACCCCGCGGGGGTGGGTCTGGGCCCCCTCCCGCCTCCCCTGCCTGTGCTGCTGGAGGACAGCTTCCACCCAGAGCCTGTGTCCCCACCCAGGAACCCTGCTTGCCACCTGGCTGGAGAGAGAACACCTGCTTTGAGCTCTCACAGTAGCACAGCACATTCGTGTGCTTGTGGGCACGTGTGGGTGTGCAGACACATGCTTGTGCATGGTGTGTGCAGCTGCATGTGGTGTATTTGCAGGAGTCTGACCAGACCAGCACAACTGTACCATGTTTGTGCATCTTTGTGTGAACATGTGTGCATGTCTGTGTATTTGCACCCATACTCATGAGCATGCATTTGTGTTTACATGCACATGTGTGTATGTGAACATGTGTTCATGGGTTTCTAGGCAACTGTGTGTGCAAATATTTGTGTACTGGCATATTTCCAAGCTTGCACATGTGTAGTATGCATGTACTGTGCAAATGTGCCTGCATTTGGGGTATATACATGTTTGTATCCATCTTTGTGTGTCCACGTGTGCGCACTTTGCATGTGTGCATGTGTTTTGGTGGGTCATGCATGCATGTTGTGTTGTGTTGTCACTTGTGAGCACATAACTGTGTCATGTGTTAGGTAGGCACATACTTATGTGCACATGTATGCTTTGAGTGTGCGCATCGCATGTGCACGTGTGCAGTGCATCCACGTGTGTTGTGAATGCATGAACACGTGTGCACAGGTTCAGATGTGAGGATGTGTGTCCGGGGTTGCATGTGCTCAAGTGAATGTGTGGGTGTGTATGTACCCAGCCTGGGCAGAGCCTCGGTGAACTGGGCTGACTGAGAAGGCTGGAGCTGCAGGGTACTGAGGCAGGAGAGATGGGGACAAAGGAGAGACAGCTATGACCAGGGGCCACCTCCAAGTCCTGGAGGAGGCGAGATGCTCTGCAGCCTGGGCATTGTGATAGCCATGGGCAGGGCACCTCCTGATTCTGGAGGCTTCCCTGAGCCCAAGGGTAAAGGCCTGGGCTGCACTGCCACCCCTAATGGTGGGAACCCAGTGCCACCTTGAGTCCCTAAGATGCTGCTGCTGAGCCCACAGGGTGACACCTACAGGACACCAGTGCTGCCCACCAGCTGTGACTCCTGGCCAAATCTTTGGAAAGGGGCTAATATCTGGGTGGCAAGGAAGGGCTGCCAGGCCAAAAGAGGGCCTTGGGCCTGCGTGGGTTTGGGGCCACGCGGCAGATGCCACTTCTAGTCCAGATAACCCAGTTTCACCAGGAGTTAGGTGTCCTGTCCCTGCTGACTCATCTGAGACTGTGGCCAACAAGGAACTTGCTGGGGAGGACGAGACCACAGAGAAAGAATGCAGTGAGCCCCCCAGATCTGCAGACCCTCACCCACACAGTCCTGCTGGGCCACACGGGGTGTGCGCTGCAGCCTCCTGCTGGACACTGGGCACCCAAGTCTCTATCCCAGCATCTGTAGGGAAGGCCACCTGGGATCATTCCCGGACAGGCGCAGAGCCAGAGAAACCCTCCTAGGCCCTGGACTCATCCTTGGGTGCCAGGGTGTGACCCCCAATGGGAACCTCAGAGTGAGGAGGGGGAGGAGGAGGGCAAAGGTGACTCACATTACAGGAATAGTCACCTCCAGGTCTACACGATGGCTTTAATATAACCCAGGGTGCAGGATCTTTTCAAGAGGTCTTTGCTGTGAACATTATGTAAACAGCGATGTTCACACGGGAGGTTCCCTGGGCACCTGCGGGGCAGGCGCTGTCCTAAGAGCTTCACGGGATTCATGTATTCGAGCCTGCACTGACCCGAGCGCCATGGGTGCTATCTGTGTGTCCCACTTTGTCACAGAATAGATGAGGGACACCACCAGCATCGGAACTAAGTTACCCCACCCAAAAAGCAGCACAACTGCAGAAGCTGAGGTTTGAAAACAAAGACAAGAAGAAGTGCCACCTCCACTCACCCATCCCGCTGACCAACTCATTTTTCCATTTTTGACTTGAAATTTGGATTTAAAATAAAAATCTGGGGGGCTAGGGGTGTAGCTCAGGGGCAGAGCACGTGAGCATGCGTAAGGTTCTGGGTTCAACCCCCAGTCCTGCAGAAGCCCACAAGACACCAGGCCACAGAATCAGCAGAGGACTTGACAGGTTTAAAATGAAAGTCCAGGTTCTGATTCTGGTGGTGTCCGAGGGCACACTGGAGGCAGTGCAGTGGGCCATGGTGACACACGGTGTTCCATCATCCCGGGCCCCATTCTTCTGCAAACTCCCGTGCCCGCCCTGGAAGACACAGCGGAGCCTCACCAGCCCCTGTGTGTGGTGTGGCCTTCAGCTTCCCGCAGGCAGGGGAGGCGGGATCCGAGTGCACATGGGTTTCCCTTCAGCAGCAACAGCAACCCCATCTTAAAGAAGTGCTAAAAGTGTGCGTGGCAACCCATGGTGTGGTGTGTCTGTCTCACCCTGTACACACACACAGTGTCCTCGGGACCTTCCCTGGAGAGGGGGCAGTGCATTATTGTGAGCCTCTCTAGATGGAAAAGCGCATTTGAATACAAAGGACTTTATTTTCTTCCAAGACCAAGAAAGTTCTCATGGGAAAGAATTCTTTTTGACAAGCGTCTAGAGAAAATGAAAGGTCGCTGGACCCGGGAATCTGCACGTGGTCAGCAAACGGAGCTCCCTTTCAACCTCTCACCTGATGTGGTCCCCAGCCAAGCCCTGCTCTCCCAAAAGCACAAAAGAGAATGATTGGAAACCGAGCTCTCTTCATCTAACTGCGGTGGAGAGTCTGACTTCTACCCAAACCAAGCCACTCGGGCCCAGCCTGTGCCTTGCCCATCAAACCTGCACCTCCTTGTCTAGCTCAAGTTCCATCAGCAACTTTCATGGCAGAGCAGGAACATAACAGAAAAATAAATCAGTGCCTAATGGCTTCGAGAACGGAGGGGTTCACAATTACGCGGCATCCACACGCTAATCTACGACTCCAGCCTCGAAAGAGCTCGAGAGCTGACTCCAAATTCCTGCAGTGATAAGGGGCCTCTGCATTTAGCCAGGCTGGCATAAAAGAGTTTTTATGATAATTATCTTAGTGAGGAACGTTTTTGCATTTTCTTTCTGCTGGATTCAGAGTTTAAGTGGGGGTGGGGAGTGGCTTTTTGGGGCGGCAAAGAAGCGACCTTGACAGCAGAGGGTGGAAAAGTCAAATATTTGATGTTGGACTATTGTGTGTGGAAAGCAATTAGCCCACAGACGTTTGATAGATTATTAGGAAAATGTAGACTCAAGTTATTTAATATCGGGGGTTGGAGGCAGGTGGGGAACAGGAATCAAGGTTTTTAAAAAACCTTTGGAAGAAAGAAATTTCATTGTACAAATGAAATTCCGGAGTTGAGTGCTCTCCTTAAAGTTAAGTAGATTTATCTCCCGGAGCTCTCATGCAACATCTAAGATTCACAGGTCTTTTCAACAATTATTTTAGGGAAAATGAGACCTCCCTCTTGCTACTCAAATCTTGCAGATTTATTTTTCTTTTCTCAACGGCCTAATTAAAACCAAACTTTAGAGCTAGAGAGCACAGACAGCACCCGGCTGGCAAAACTGTCCTCGGTGGCGATTTCCTTTCTGCCGAGTCAGGGACAGAGACTGCTGCCCCACAGAGGGGGACTCTGACTGCTGGGCCAGGCCTGGGTTGAGGGGTAAACCAAGGCAGTCTTGGGGGTCTGGTCCTAAAGCCTTCCTGCTAATTCCAGCTGCCTGGCCAGCCACACGGCTCCGGGAAGTCGGAGGGGCTCCTTGGAGGAACTCGGGGTTAATGGCATTAATCATTAAACCTCGGTATGTTTGCAGGGGAGGGAGAGGAAGCAGGGGGGGGGGAGCCCAACCTCCCTCCTTTCTCTGCGTGAGCAGGAATCGCTAGTTCTGGAAACAGCTAGAGGGAGAGAAGGCCTTTCTGTCCACTGGTGTGGTCTCATCCCAAAAGAAGCTGCTGAACATCTGTTTAGCAAAGCCACTCAGGGCCACCGACCTGTGCTCATAGGCCGTGTGGGCCCCCCCCCCAAACAACCGGCCCAGGAGCCCCGGCTGCTCAGCACCAGGAAGGAAGGCCAGCCCGGGCTTTGGAACCGTCTCTGTGGGAGCTGGCTTCTCCTCGAGGGGTACAGACACACAGAAAGGGGCACTGGCTGGTCACATCCCAGGGGACAGGTACTCTGATGGCAGAGAGGGAAGGAGAGCAGAGAGGTTGCCCAGGCTGCAGGGAGGAGCAGAAGACCCACTCCACCCTCGGGTTGTCCTCCCACCCAGGAAAGGCTCCCGACTCTCCCGAACTTCGAACTGCGAGTGAACGTCACTTCTGAAGACCCACATGTAGCCATCTCCCTCTTATCTGAGACGACAGGAAGCCCCAGAGTGGGCAGGGACAGCCTTCCAAGTCACAAAGTAGGCTATGCATTATTCTGGGGGTGGGAAAGCTCATCATGGAAATAATATTAATAGAGCTTTACAAATCACTATAAAGACAGAACTCGGCAGGCTACCACGGCCACACTGTCCTAGCCCTTCTCACATTTGGGGTGAGATCCGAGGTCCCAGGGAAGGAGGGAGGAAGCCCCCAGGCTGAGGGGTCCAGCAGCACTACATCAGCTGACCTGGGGTCTGCAAACACTGGACACTGCATTGCCAGACGCCCAGCCCCCCAGCACGTGGTGTGACGTGAGGAGACACCTGGTACCCTCCTGGGTGGGGTGGGGCCCAGGCGGCGGCCCAGTGGGGTCTTACCATCCAGGCTGGGTGGCACCGCGCCGAGGGAGTAGCCACTTTCCTTCACGTGCACCAACAGCTCCTCACCCGGCTCAATGTCCTTAATGACTTTATAATAAATCTAGAAGGAAGAGACCAGAGAGGAGGGTAAGCCTGGGCACTGCCACTGTCCGCAGAGCCCCGGGCACACTCAGCCCCACAGGCCACTTGACCTGGCTTCTAATTGCTGCTAAGAGGTTTCCCTCAGGAGCTGAGCAGCGTGTGCACAAAAGGAATGGAGTCCGTTTTAATTTGTTTCATCCTGTTTTGGGATACTGATAGAAGAGGGTGAAAAATTAAAGAGGTGAGGGTCAGTGTCAAGTCCCCAGTCAGGGGGTCTCCTGGAAACACCCAGACTAGAGCAATTCTCACTGGGAGCAGGGTTTGGATCCCTTCCGTGTCCTTTCCTTTGTGGGTAGAAGCGAGAGGCCCCGGGCTGCAGAGACAGAACTGAGCACCAGCTGGCCACCAGGGGCTCAGAGTGCAGCGTGCATCTGGTTGTTTTTGAAGGTGGCCGAGAGCAGGCACAGGCTGTGGGTAAGGACACTGCCTGAAATTCCCACAGGAGAGATGCAGCCAGAGTCACGGAAGGCTGCGTGTGGGAGGATGGAGGACCTGCCGTAGCTTAATGCCCAGCACTTGGCAGTGGGCTGGAGATGGGGGTGCCCTGAGAACACAGTGGGGGTGCAGGGTACATGGTACAGCCTGAAGAGCACTGGGGTGGAGGGGAACCCCATCTGGACTGTCTTGCTCAGCAGCTCTGACCTGGGCCATGTCTCCTGAGAAAAGTAGTCTTCTCTTGGCAGTGGTGAAGGCAAAGGGCCAGAGGAAGAGACCTCTAGCAATTGAGAAAGGGAGGCAGGCCATCTTGTCCCTGCAGGTCCCCAGGGACTTTGGGGAGGACCCAATCTGAAGACACCAGGACTCGGGACCCCCATGTGGGCCACTGCTCCCTGGGCATAGTGACACCTTCAGGCTGGAAGGGCTAGAGGTGTGGGCACTTTTCTGTCGGGGCCATCGACTGCCTGCCGTGGCACAGGGGTGTTTGGGGCTCTATTCCGATACCTGGAACAAAGAGCTTCCAGGAACCTGCCACCTGGCCCGAGGACTGCCCTGGGAGATCCTCAGCACCATCCTCGTGGAGAAGGGTCCAGGACAGAACTGAATGGGCAGAGGATGGAACCCTGACCAGGAAGAAAAGGCTGGGTAGACTCAGGCGCTCCAGGGGTTGAGGGGAGGGGCTGTCCTTGTGGTGAGTGACACTTCTCCCTGCACCCTCCAGTTAGTATGGGTCAGACTCCATAGCAGCTGGCCCTGGTTGGGGTCGGTGGCTAGAGGTGGTCAGCACTGCAGAGACAGAACTGAGCGCCAGCTGGCCACTTGCCTCTCTAGGCTGCACGTGCTGTCCCTCAAGTTGAGGGCTCTGTTACCCATCCAACTTCACAGGACACCAGTGAGCTTTCAGGACACACAGAGAGGCTCCCCACAGCCCGGAACTCACTGGCTGCCTATTCCCAGGACTCCCAGCAGCCACCCTACACGAGGTAGAAAACACACAGGTGCACACACATATATCTTATCAGTGTGTGAAGTCCTTCTACCAGCAGTCGGTAGTAGTTATTTTGTTTGGCAGTTATTTTCAGGTAGATTGATAAAATAATGAGTAGATTTTAAAGGGGACCAAATTAACTTCATTAATGAAACCAATTAAAATCCCAGTTTTGTATAATCTAAAAACAAAAACCAAAACAAAACCCCTCATTGGCTGAACTTAAAAAAAAATCAGATTTAAGCCACAGTGTTTCAAATTCAGAGTCCAGAAGGCCATGAAGTGGCCCCTTGGAGCCACAGGGGCAGGCATGGTTAGGGGCTGTTACCAAGTGGGGTGGCCACACTTCCCCCCACTCCGCCAGAGCTGCCTCAGGTGGGTTGCTGCGCCTCCAAGGACCCCCAGTGCGTAGGCGGGCGGGAGCAGAGGGTGCGTCCAGGCAGCTCCTGCGCTCCCTGCCGCCCCCCCCAGCCTAGAGGTTCCCCGGACTTGTGAGGCCAGCACGTTCCCACCCGGCGACCCGCGAGGTGGGTGCATCCTCCCGCAGCTCTGCCTGCTTAGATGGGCGCAGAGGCACCCCCGCAGGCCGCCAGCAATCCTGGGACCCCACCCCGTTCACCCCGTGGGAGGGCCTCTCGCCTCGTAGGAATCCCGCCCCAGCCCACCCGCTTCTCTCTGGGCTGCCCGGATCCCTGGACCTCCACTCCCAACTCTGGCTCAGGGCAGCCGCGCCTCCTGGAATCCCCACCCCGGCTCTGGAAACTGCCCAGCCCTCCTCCTCCCGCCTCCTCCCAGGGCTGCAGGGACCCCGAGACCCCACACCCCACACCTCTGCTCCTGGGATCGCCGGGCCTCCTAGGACCCCAACTCCTGGCTGCGAGGACGGGAGCCTCCCGGGGGACCCTCCCTGCCGCCGCGGTCACCGCGCCGCAGCCGCGATCTAGCGCGTTCGGCCGCGGGCGCCCTGTCCTGGGTCCCTGGGCCGGGGACCCACACCGCGGCTGCGGGGCGCCTGGCGGGGGCGCGTAGGGAACACAGGGCGGCAGGCCGGGCAGCCGTGGCCGCTGGGACTTTGAGCCTCGGACGGAATTAATCGCTATTAGCGCTAATCGCAGGGCCCAGGGCGGGGCCCGGGTGTCCCCGACCTGCCTCCACCTGGAGGTGGGCATGGAGGTGAACAGGAATCAGAGCCACTGTTTCCAAACTCGGCCGACCCCGCCTTTGCCAACGGCGCCGAGGTACGCGGAACAGCCGCCCGCGTTTCCCGGCCTGTTCCAAATGGCACCAGAGGCGTTATCGGCCAGGCGCGCGCCCAGCGCCACGGTTCCCAGTCCGCGGTCCGGCACTTCCCGGGACAAAGGCTGGCCTCGGCGGCGGACGGGGGCTGGGTATCTCCCGCCTGCAGGGCGGGCGCTACAGACGGCCGTGTGCCTTACCGCCCCGGCTCCTTCCGTGCAGGGACCGTCGTAAATTACATGGCAGCCCCTTAAAAATTCCTGCAGACGGTATATTGTGTGGCGCCAAATTAGCATCGCGGCTGAGTTTTCGCAGGAAGGAAGAAAGTTCGTCTGGTATCCTTTAGCCCCCAACCGCTGGCACTGGGGAGGCACCAGACCACGTCTTGCTCAGGTGACAGGGGCCAAGCGCACGGGCTTTTTCTGGACATGTCCACTGCATTGTTTAGGTGGGTGTGGGTCCTGGGCCTGTGCAAGGTTGGGATCCTCTGTGACCCTGGGGTGGCCGGTGGCCTCCACCAATAGCTGAGGTTGCTAGTGCCCAGAGCTGTCTGTTCTAGACCAGCCTGGAGGGCAGCCCCGTTTCCTCCCCTGGGCTTCTCTCTGCCACCACAGGGCTTCTCTGAACTTGGGGAACAGCACAGAGCACGGGTCCTTGGAATCACAGCCGTGCTTAGTGTGACCTGGCGTGTTCCTTCTCCCTTCGTCACTCTCCAGACCTGCAGGCGGCTCCTCTGAGTGAGCAGAGGTCGGGGACAGACAACCACCACCTTTTCTGCAAAAGCCGAGCAATCACTGGGGGAAGGAGGGTGCAGCCCGGGTTCTGCCAAGGGAGCAGCTTTGCGGGACCCTGAGTGCCAGTCAGGTCCCTGCCAAGTCCCCAGCAGTGTTCTGGAAGACACGTTTCACAGTGGTGCCAGGCTCTGAGGAGCTTTCTCCATGGAACTCCTGACGGATATTTTTTAGTATCAGATGGATTCACAAGCGGAGTCCCCACCTTTGGATTGAAGAGTTAGGTGCCACAGTTTTCATTCCCACTTAATCTAAGAATTTTAACATTTAAGTAAATGAAAAACTCTATCCAGATTACGAGGGGGTTTGAATGACTAGATTCAAAGTCAGGTTCAAAGTCAGCGGATCAAACACAGGTGGCCGTCTCCTCCCTGGAATCATTGATTTTTTCCAATCTATTGATTAAAGTCCTGGACAACTGTATTTTTCCTCTTCCTTGACTAGGTATAAGACATTTTAAGGGGACGGAAATGTCCTTCCCTGTTCTTAGAAAACGAAAACCCCGGGGCTGTGGCTGTAGCTCAGTGGCAGAGCGCTTGCCTACCATGTGTGAGGCACTGTGAGGTTCGATCCTCAGCACCACATATAAATAAACAAATAAAGTAAAGGCATTCTGTCCATCTACAACTACAAAAAAAAAAAAATTCAAAAGAAAAAGAAAACTCAATCTCTCAGCATCCCAAACTTGGGAATCCCCCTGACTTGCACCAGCAAAGGTTTTGTGAGGCACAGACAAGGCCTCTACCACCACCACCCACATTGGCAAGTGGAATTTGGATTCCTCTAAAATCATTGCTGAAAAGAAAATTCACCTAGCAACCCACATGCCTCTCTCCTGTCCTCCTAGAGGCAGACTGGACCATCCCTGGGGGCTTTCCTGTGAGTCTAAGACCTCTGAAGAGACTTGGTGGGTCCCAGCACTGTCTCTTGGTGACTTTGGAAGCCTCACTCTTTACTTTGACTGCTTGCTGGCCCCCAGCTGAGCTGTTACCTTCTGGGTCAGGGCTGTCAAGGCCAGCTGAGGGTTGAGCGTTTGGTTTTGAAAAACCAACTTTAAAAGATGCTCCAAGATCCAGCAGGAGCAGCGTTTGCAGCTGTCCGCGGCTTGAGCCGAGGTCTTCATTTCTCCTTCTACAGATGCATGCTGTGACCTCAGGGGCCTTCCTCTGGTCTGTGTTGTTGCCTGCTTTCTCAGAGCTGGGCAGGAGCAAAGGGACAGCAGTTCTGGGCTCAGCATCCTGGGCAGGCTCCAGAGACATGCAGACAATTCCTTCCTCTGGCCAAGAGGAAAAAAGCTCATCTGTGTCCCTGGGATTCGCCACGTTCCTCTCTTCCCATGCCATGCGGATGCAACTTCATCTGTGCCTAAATTATTATTATTTTGTTGCTGTAGATTCTGCCATCTTCCCAGCAGCTCAAACAGAAAAAAAATCTACATACTTATTCCTTGTGTACAGTTTGTAAAAATATAAATTATTAGTCCATAGTGAAATGATCAAGATTCTT